CTAATAGTTTTAAATTATTAAAGCTTAATCTTTCACTTTCTAACCATAGTTGGAATAATTTTGTTAGATTTCATGCCAGAATATTATTCATTTTCATGCGAGGGCCTATCATAGGTCTTTGCTGACCTTATGGAGCAGGGCTTCTAGCTAGTGACATTTTCAACAAATTCCTACTTTGGTTTACTAACAACCATCGTAATATATGAAATCCATTCCTCTGTTCTTTTCATCAGGTTCACAATGTCCGTATCCAACTATATCATGTCCTGTTGACATTTTAAAGAAAATGTTAAGAGCATGCAGGAAAATCAAAGAAAACCCTAGAATTGACATGAAATATCACAATCTATTTGTGTCTCCTACAACTCTGAGAAAGTTGAAACATTGTTAGGGAGTGATATATTTCAATATAAAATACTCTTTCTGGAGCGTAACTACAGAGATCAAGTCATTCAATAGGGAATTCAACTAGGAAAGAGTGAAGAATCAGTCTTGTGATGGGGGTTTCTTTGCTAAATTTACCATCTGGAGTTTTTGATTTATTATCTCTGACCCCACTGGTGACTGCAGTGTAATCAGTGAGAATTATTATGGTCAGGTCACAACATGGATAACCTTCCTGCTGTGCTCATAAAAATAAATTTACGCAGTTTTTAGGGGTAAGAAAGAAAAGGGAAAGAGAGATTCTGTTTCCTCCTTTAAAAATGATTGTCTCACATATATTATTCTGGAGGTTTGAATGGCATTTCCAATTAGAAATGTAATCACAGCAAACGGTGAAGGTATTTTAAAGCAGGGGCCATTAGGAGTTCTATGGCACAGGTCTATGGAAGAATAATGGTTAAGAACAGTGTGCCATTGGAGTTCAGAAAAGGACCAGAAGGCCAAGTTGAGCAAAATAAACGGAGGTCTGTCATGGGTTTCCCCTTATTTTCGTTTAAGGTATAAGCAGCCATGAACTTCTTTCCTAGATACCATCCTTAGTATTTGGAGGAGTTTGCCAATGGTGTGTCATGAGCAGAAGCATAAAGTAAGTTCCTGAGTTTCAAAACAAGGAAGCTCATCATCTGAAGAAAACTGATTGTCTTCTGTGATTAGAAAATTGTGCTATTGAGATGAGGAACATGTGCCATTCTTCTGTGGTGATATGGAATCAAAATTTATTTACCAAGACCAAAGACGGTAGTGATGTGATTACTATTAAAAAATGGCTTTAAGGACGAGAAGCTTTTTATGAAATAGATTCATAAGGACATTCACCATAATGCAATAAATATCATTCTTCTACACAGATTAATTAATTACAAGATGTATTCTTTAACACTGTTATCATATAATACCTCTCTCTGTCTCTCTCTCCCTCTAAAACAGGTAAAACAGAAAGAAGCTCTTATTCATCATATGGACGAGACTCAAATCTTCAAGGTTGCCATCAGGTAAGAGTCAGTTGATGGTATGAAGTAACATGTGATCCCATGTTTATGTACTATCCATCTTTGTGACATACATCCGGTCTTTTCAAAGAATTTTCAAGGATAGTTCAATAGTGTTTGAAACATTAAATTGTTTTTCTCTTACTTTCTGGTTTTCTGTTGGTTACTAGATTGATATTTTGGTGTATTCCTAGTGAATTGTTTATCAATCTGATTGAAAAGATTACACTGTTGTTGCCCAAATTCCTGGATAATGAATAGTTCAACTTAAGAAATTGTCAAGAGTTTGTAGGAGGCACCAGTGGAGATTTTAAAGTCATACTGACTTTGGACTGGCTATAACAATAAATTATAATTTCCATAGAGTCTGTAGGATGTTGTGTGAAAACAAGAGTTCTATTGAGAGATAAAAATGTCTGTGAAAATATGATTTGTTGTCTCTTTTTGTTTCTGAATTGTTTTTGGCTGGAAGTCAAGGCCAGCAGGCTAACAGAAAAATCGTCTCAAGGGAAACATGTGTGAGCTAGAAAAATAAAAGTATTTTAATTAAATAATAAAATGCCAAATTAATACAAAGGTATAGCTTCTCTGTGTTTATGCCACTATATAGTAGGCATTTGCATATTTTTAAATTTCCAGAGACAGTACCTTCATCTAAAATTTCTATCAGTAGCTAAATACATACATACATACGTACGTACGTACGTATGTATGTATGTATATATACACACACATACACATACTGCAATCCAGTTTTACTGCTTCTTCAGAATGCTGTATTCTGCTACCTTCCTTCCCTCTCCCTTCCTTTTTTTTTTTTTAAGGACAGTTATTGTTTGCATTCTTTGATTGCTTCTTTCACCCCAAAAGAAACACTTGCTTACTTTGGAAGAAAACACCCCTTTTTATC